CTAGACGCAGAACACTTACGCTACCCGCATGCTATCAACTAGGTTTATTGGATCACCCCCCTACTGGCATATGCCATAACTGTTCTCTTCCTTGAATTGATTATGTTATGTTGATAATTATCAATTGTACATTTCAAACTATTTGTTAAGTTAAAGACAAACTGAGAATTACTTAAATAAATACTGAATATATTAAGAAGCAAACTAATCGCTTAGTTTAATTACAATTGTCTCTGTCAATTGAAACTTGATGGTGAGTATATTATCACGACGATTGATAACCATTAAGATTATCAATATATATTTTATTCAATTGTAATAAGAACTTCTTTTACTACATCTCAATTTTCGAATAGAATCTGATATATAATTTTTTTTGCATTATCTGCTGACTGATGCCACTTAAGCCTTTTAGTAGGCGAGAATCTCTTGACTTCTACTGTAAGGGTTCTATATATACAGCTTCAAAGCTAAAAAAGGGCAATAAAAAAAGACTGGAATTTTGTCTTTCATTGCATTGTACGTCTCGTGGCAACTAGGTAAGTATTTTTTTCTAAGGCACTCTGCTGTGCCTTACATCAATTTACTTTGTATTTGTGTGTTGATGCTATTGCCAAATTAAGTTTATAAGCTAGCGTCATGTCAGTGTCTTTAGTGTAAACGTGTTGGCACATACATTTTATGTGATAGCTGACTTAGCGTGCTTCCCACCTGTTTTATCTTGTGTAGGTGCCAAAAAAATGCGACTTCCTTCAAAAATGTTTGAGGGAATTCAATGTCTAATAGAAAGGGGCACATTGTATAAAAAAACACAAAATATACAACAGATTTCTATGGGTTCTATGGAGACGAGAAAAACCACAATACACATACGCACACATATGCAAAGCTTTGACGGACAGAAGTTTAATTTCCGCTTTTTTGCAGCCGCCATTATGAAGTCGAAAGTAACGAAATTATACTCATATTTGCTATTGAAAGTATGTTTGCAATTCATATATAATTTTTCCATCTTTTATATTCATTATATTTCCAAAAGGTAAGACTTCAACAATGTCAACCCGATCTGTACATAAATACACATATTCACTTTTCAATATTTGGTTGCCTTTAAGTATTGTCTGCCTTATAATGCATGAATGCCAAAAAGCCCCATAAAAGCGAAAAACAGGATGTTTTCTTTAAAACCATAATGGACTGCGTCTACATACATACTTATTATATACATGCCTGGCTTTTTGGGCATATGGCAACAGCAAATAAAAATAAAAAATAGATGAACTTATTTCGTTTTATGTGCTCATCGCACAGTGGGAACATTTTTCGAAGAACTTTAAACTGAAAGCTCAAAATTGCATGCAAAACTTGAACAGTTTCAGCAATAAATTGTTTTTGTTGGTGTAGCAATGCTTTTTACTAGCCCAAATATAAGAACTAATAAGGATGTTCATACTCTTCATAAGCCTGCACTGTAATTTTGTAGTAAAGACTCAAAAAATATTTCTTTGCAAAATTGCAAATAATGTACTTTTGGACATTTTCGAGAAAGAGACCCCACTGTGCGTTATTGCCTCAGCCATATGTGCATATCCAAGGTTTTTATTTTACTCAGTCTTATGCTGCTTAAAAACCAACTGCGGCACGGTTCAAATAATACGCACAAATAACCTCAAGGCAATGCGAGAGCGCAGCACATTAAAATGAGCAAAAAATTTTAATGAAAAACATCACCCACATAAGCGAAAAAAGCAGCCAACTGATGATACCCCCAAAAAGTGTGCATATCTGGTGGCTGTCGACAAATAAAAGTCACTGCGAAACGACTAATCTTGAATATGTCGCGAATCTGCGGGCAATGTGTGGCAGTTAAAGCTTTTAGTATGAATAACTTCTGGTATCCAAATGCAAAAATACAGTACACTACAGAAGTACCCTGAGCCCATTTAAAACTGGAAAAAGGGTATTATGATTTGTGCAAATGTATTTAACAGCCAGATCTCCGACTCCATGAAGTATCAGGATAACCAGTTGACCTAGCCATCTTTCGTCTATGATTACGTTAAATAAGTAATAGAAATAATTTCCGGTCCATGGAAAATCTATACTCTTGATCAGAACGAATAGAGTTGGTTGATCTAGCAATGTTCATTTGTCCGTCTACGATTGCGTCCTTTTTAGTAACGACAGTAGCTAGACACATCATTAACAACTTTTCAAATTAAAGAAAAAATTTGATATTGAGAAAAGGTTATTTTAGGCACAGCTCAGATTTTATAAGAGACTCAACCAAAATGGTTCTGACTCATTTATGGTAAGCTATACCCTTGTACTCTGATATTCACAATTTGGTGTTAGTTGTGTTTTTCTGCTCTTAAGAACGTCGTGCTTCTTCGTATAGCGAGAAAATCATATAATAACTACATTTCTAGTCGAAGCTAATGGTTGGGCAATTTAATGCATTAAATCTCGCGAATGCTAGAAAAAATCGACCACTAGAAGTTTCTAGTTCTTGTCCATTAAGAAATAAAACGCATTTACATGTGCATGCTTTAATAAGTACTAAATATACACAGCTAGGCACATACATACTCTGTATACTGTATATATATATATATACATATTAAATCGTCAAGAAGGTCAACGGCAAAAAAAATATTCGCAAAATTACGTTTCGCTGCCTTCAGGCTAGCGAAGCCCTAACCCGAATTCAGTTAAATTTGCAACGATTTCTATTTAGTTGACAGCCCTAAGCCACGTTGGTTTCACTATTTTCAGATTTATTGGAAAACCAGCAAACTGGCAAGACTCTGGCTGCTGTGAATGATTTGCCAGCATATTTCAAACGTATTTAATGGCATTGCTCATTTGTCTACCAGCAGCAGAAACTGCTTGTGGCTTGCCAAAACCACAGCCGCAGCCTTGCACTTCGCCATTCGAACAGGACTCTGTCGAAAGTAAAGTGCAGAGTGAAGAGTTAAGACTGAAGTTCTGTGGCTGGCTACATGAAAAACATTTGTTCTGCCTGTAGCTGTGGTGTAAACACACACAAAAGGTGCATGCATATTGGACTAACTCGTTGACAAAAGTTTGCACCCACTTGCCCATGTTACTATGGTAGTATCTACAGTTTATTTTTGACTTTTTAATATTATGTCCGCCTTAAAACTTGGTATAAAAATATATCCTGAAAACGATTGAGTAATTAACATTTTTATTTTTAAATTTTGTGTGGTTTTCGATTTTTGGCCACTGTTTCCAATTATTAATGAGTATTAAGTTTTTATTAATGAAACGCTTTTAGAACTTTTAAAAAGGACTTCATGCCATAAATATATTATTTTTTCCCATTGTGCATCGATTCAGTGGAGCCAAACTTTTACACATTGATAATGTGTTATTTGTTCTTTTGCGATGATTGAAGTTGCAATGTTTGCTGGAAATAAATCCTCTCGTTTCTCGTATATATGTGTATGGAATTTACTAAGCCATATTTATTATTATTTGTTGGCCGTGGGCAACATATATGAGCAAACATGTGATATATTTGGGTGTTTGTTCTGTTTACAAGTTCAAGTTTTTTAATTGCTTGCAATTTGGGTTGCTTGGCTTTTGTTTTATGACCAGATATTAATCTGGCAAAGCAATTAAATTTATTACATGACCAAATATTTTCGAGTAAAGCATATCTGCACAAATAAATTTGGGTAAATGCGCTATAAATTGCAGATTTAAGCTCGAAAGTCTACAGATTCTGCCCAGCTTAATTGGCAAGTTTGTAAAATGAATTGTTATTTAACAATTCGATATTTAACAATGACGATTTCGTCATATTACATTTATAAACTTAAATTTCTCTGTATAAGTGCAGAGTGTGGCGGTAGCTTGTTAGCTTTTTTAATTTTTTTTTTTAATCAGCTACTTGTTATTAAAACAGAGTTCATATTTTAAGGATTCTCCTGCTTGAGTTGGTTTACACACAAGAATATAACACTAAATTGTACTGAAGGTAAATAATAATATAATTATAATAAAATAATAATAATAATAATAATAATAAAAATAATAATAATATTTAATTATAATAATGCAGGATATGTTACAACTATACTTATATTGTAGGAATCGTACTCTTGTCATATAGTATTATTTCCATAATATGCATAGCGGTTGTTGTTTGTGTGCGCCCTCAAAATTCTAATTAAATCGGCTTAGTTTTTTGCTAAGCCCTTAAGTTTTAGCTAAATGTTTAGCGTTGAATATTTGTGGTACCATTTTGGTATTTCTGCCCCAAACTGATTTTATGGCTTCAACCCTTTCCAGACATCCTCAGTTTCATTTACCACTGGACGCAGGTGCAACTGGTAAACACGCGGTGCCGTGATGAACGTCAAATTAATGCGCGAAATTTAATTAAAATTGAACTTAATTTAGATAAGTGCATGAGGTGAAATAATGTAGCAGACTTAGAGGCTCGAGTGCCCTACACATGTGGTGGGTGTGGCGTGTGTTAACAGCGCATTGCGTGCTAAGCCGCTTATAAGCAAATCAAAGGCAGCTGATACGATAATTTTAACGCGCTGAAATTGGTTTGGGGTTTTGTTCGGAGTGGTTTGGCGGAGCTTTGGGATTTGGTTAGCCGCGAAGTGCATTGCCCTTCCAAGTGGAAGGCGACCAAAATGAGCTGCCCTTAAAGAATCTCATCTAACCAAATTTGATAGCCGTCAAACTAAAAGGCTTTCTGCTTCACAATTCTCTTGGGCAAATGGGCACTGAACTTAATGGCTAGGCTAACAAATCTAGTGACAAGCGAGCAGCTACTTTATCGCTTGTATAAAATTGAAAATGATTTGAATACGCCTATTGCAAAGCAGTGCAATCAATAAATTTAAGGAGCCGCTGGTAAAATTATAAAGGCATAAGTGTACACAAGCAACCATTTACAAATCTGTCATCATAATTATTTAGTATAGTTTTAGTTTATGCAAAACCTAATTAGTTTCATTATTTCATTTTATTTTTACTGACAACCAAAATTTTTGGTGCTTTTCTTTATACAATAGATATTACAATTTTTCAGTTTTAATTGTTGACCATCTCTTCAGCGAGAATATATTTAGCATTAAGTTTAAGAAATTATTTCGAAAATTTTGCCCGTCATGACTCAAGTAAATTTTCTTTTTGACATTATTGTAACTCAACTTCGGCTAAATAAGTATGAATTTGATGAGCCACAGAATCTCATGGTGCGAGCTAAGTTCAACAAAATAGGACTTGCAATCACATCAAGCCGTATAAATGTGACCGAGTTCCGAGCTGGACGCGACATCGAATTCAAAATCGAACCACAGATGCTACGCAACAATCTCAAAAAAATTGGCATGCTCGTCACGGTGCAATACGGTAGCATTAGCTTGGGCACCGGAACGCTTATGTTTCCCCAAAGCTTCATTGATAAAATTGACTATGGCATGAGCGACTTGGTGCACGCCGATACATGTTCCATTCAAAGCCGCAACACAGAAGTGGGCTTCGTGGAACTGCTGTGCCGCCTAATCATCAAGTGCGAAGACGAAACGCTGGGTTTAGAGTAAGTTAAGCATCACTTAAGATTGTCTGTCGCTCAGTTTTGATTCTAAATTGGCTCTTAGAGCATGTCAAAAGAGGTGCGAACACCTGGACGAGGAGATTAATCAGGCTGACATTATGTTCTTAGTAGACAAGCCAGAACTCGACGCAATACCTTGCGAACCGTGTTCAGATGAGCTGAAACAAGAAGAAGACGATGCGCAACTCAGATGGGATCTTAGTCGGTATCGCAGCTTTAACCAGCGCGTCACCCAGTCACCTGAGGATACAAGTGCCATGCAGGCGTGCAGTCAGTTAAAGAATCTGACGGCGAAATGCGGAGAAATAATCGACTCGGTTATCAAGAGGATTGCCCAATTGTCTTCACCAAAGCTAACTGAGCATACTCACAATACAAACCAGACACCAATTATCTATAATTCTACGAGAACGCCATGCACAATACCTGTTCCTGCGGTAGACATGGAACAAGTGGACATTAAGCCCATTCGCTTCTGTCCAATTTGCTTGTGCTCTATGTCCTGGCTCCCTAAATATGCCTGTTGTCCTAGATGCTGGGCCAAGCCCATGCCAGAACTTAAAAGTGAATCTAAGGAAGTTCTCACGGCCGATCTAATCATAAATCGTTATGCTGAAGAGCCTCATCAAGCTGCCAATAGTCTTTCGGATAAGGAAAATATTGAGAGCACCAAGCATACAAGTCGCTGTACCTGCAAGTTGGGAAAAATGTGCGCTCATTGTCGAGTCCGCAATTTATGTTCAGACATCTTCAAATCATCGAGGTTTCATATTCCAGAAATCAAGCCCAAAGCTAATGAGGACTTTTGCGTTTTATTCAAGTGTAATGGATCACCTCCTACCTGCCGTACACATCTACAAATTGTGTTATCCGAGCTGAAACTTCTTTACCAAAAGAAGGATGTTGAAAATAATAAACACTGCATGCAGTCACAACTTGGCGGAGAACTGGACACCAATTCATTGTTATAAAATTATTTTATTCAATGTAAACGATTTTATTGTTTAAATAAGACCTTTTAGCTTATTTTATATATTTGTCTGGAAATATTATTTTTTATTTCGAGATGTAGCACCTCACTTTGAATTCTTCAAATCGTCAATGTTCAATTTAAATTTCATAATGCTTATGCAGGCTGTCTGATCATCAATTTTTAAAACTAAGCTGCTGCAACAGTAAAGTGGAAGTGACTTTAATCAAATGTGGCTATCTTTGCTACCTTTTGAAGCCGAACTTGTCTTTATAATCATGTCAACGATATTTCATCGGGAGAGCATATTCTATTTACTCTCCATCACACTTTGATTACATCGATTGCCATCCAAACAAGTTATAAAATCTTCTTTTGTCAAGGCTAGAGAGATATGTTACTCTTTCCAAAAGATCTTGCAACCCAGATAGAAAATTTGACAGCTAGTACAGTCGATTCTGGTATAGTAAACTATCAGTGTAGTAAAGCAGTACACCAGAATGATGCATTTAGGTCATTGATTTTTGTCGGGCTCATGCTCATGGACAATAATATCCACTCGATCAGAAAACTAGAAGTGCCTTTGGGGACTTCTCATCGAAAGCACTTTTTACCGGACAGAGAATTTAACACATATAGTACAATATTTTTACAAATTGCTTTAATTTAAAAACTACAATTACGAGGTAGAATGTAGAATAATTGGGTCATAGGTTAGCGAGGTGCGTGCGTTTCGAACCGAATAATCGAATGGCCTTTAGATCTGAACATCTGCTTGCCTTCATGCACAAGACTATGGTCATGAGGGAATCAGAGCGAGTAGTCCTGACTGTCCTTGATGGGGGAGGGGGGAGTGGTAACTGACACACTTTAACAAAAATATAAGTGCACGCCGACGATTCAATACCCTTGTAATAGAATATTTTGCCATACAAAAACTAATTTTTTTAATGTTGCTTCATATAGAGTTACATATAGTAGCGCGATTTTTAGGCAGTATAGTTTATGAAAAAAATTTCGGGCTGGTGAAGATATCTTGAGTTTTTCATAAAAAACTTAATTACCCATCGATCGATTGACAGCTATATAACCTTTTAGACCGATGCTAATAAGTTTCATATATATAAATCCTAAAGAAACCAAAAAGTTTTCCACCTTGCCGCTAATTGGTTTTTCCATTACCAACTTTAATGCGTTACACATTTCATGACAAAATTATATTTACCTCTATAAGGGTATTTAAATTGATTTAATCATGAAACCAACCTAGGATGAGCTGTATATGTAAGAATATGTATGTCTAAAATAAATGTCATTGGCCTCTTTAAAAACTTATTTAGGATTTGTAATTGAACATTAATTGTATTTTTTTCGTACGTTCATTTAAAATTAGATTGCCTTACTGGAGATTGCATTCTTGTATACATTAAGGATTGTTCCAGTGTCGAATGTAATATGAATAACATCTTAATGAATAAATTTGGCTTTTAAGATTTGAATGCAAGCTGATGGAATCTTCTATTCAGTTAAGGTTGTCTCAGAAAATCTTTACTAAAAAACGTTTTCGTAAATGAATGAATATTACATTAATTCGCGAGTGTAACACCCATGTGTATATCCTTGTTAGGCCAAGATAAATCAATCAAGCTCAAAATGATGATATAGACTAATATTTATAAAAATGGGAGCAAATAATATTAATAAGACTTTAATTCAAGAAAATATGTTAACTTTGAGATGCTTATAATTTAGCAAGGATTTCAAATAATTGAGCTAATTATAAATAAAACTAGCCCAACAATAATCATAACGTTGCGAATACAGCATATTGATTTTTTTCATTAAGTCTGTTGATGCTTGCAATCGAGGAAGGGTGTAAGGTCAAAGGTGTCAGGAAAGAAAGACCTGGGCCGAATTCAGGTGTGAAGGCACCAGCGTACGATGCTGACGCTTGATTATCCAAGGTGTTTTCAGATATGTAAGGCAGGAGAGATAAGTGCAGCTATGTACCTGACCATAGGCCAACGAAACTCAGCTGCAAACAAATACAAAAGCCCATAGGAAACTCATTCCGATACGAGCCTGTGGACAACTAGTCAGCTTTTTACCTCATATATAGGTCAAATTTTTTACGTTTTCTACTTTGCCACGTTTTGACCTAAACAAATTACATATAACAAACTGCTAAACATATATCAACCATATAAAAAGAATACACAAATTAATGATTTGTTATAATAATGTAAGCTAGCGAATCGAACATAGGCGTCTGCGCCCAATACGCAATCAATAAAATCCAATTAAATCGCCATAGTTTGCCATAAAGCATACCTAGCATTACCCAAATATTTGCCATTCAGCAGTTTGTCGTAAATATGGAAAACTGCGCCATGCTGATTTCTAAATTTTATTGGCTTAGTTGGGTGCCTATGCAACTCGTAAACACGCGGCGCCGAGATGAACGTCAAATTAAGGCACGAAATTTAATTAAAATTGAACTTAATTTAGATAAGTGCATGAGGTGAAATAATGTAGCAGACTTAGAGACCCGAGTGCCCTACACATGTGGTGGGTTTGGCGTGTGTTAACAGCGCATTGCGTGCTAAGCCGCTTATAAGCAAATCAAACGCAGCTGATGCGATAAATTTAACGCGCTGAAATTGGTTTGGGGTTTTGTTCAGAGTGTTTTGGCTGGACTTTGGGATTTGGGTGGCCGCCAAGTGCATTGCCACATAAGTGGGCGGCACAGCAAACATCGCAACAGGCAATGTCCTTAAACCAAATCAAAAATATCAATATCAATTTTGTGCCATTATAAGAATGCCACCGAGCAGACGCTGCCAAATTAATTAATTAGCCAAAAACCAGTAAGTAAATAAAATACCAAATAAAACGGGTAAGAATGTTGCAGTCGGGAACCAAGAAATGCGTAAATATGCTTTGATCGATCTTTAAAGTGGCTAATTTTTATGTCCACTTCTAGAAAATAATAAGTTTCACAATTTGCTGCGTTACCAGTTGTCGTGCCTATAAAAATAAGCACGTTATCTGATGTGGGTATTTACAATAATATGATATAAGACTTAAGTCGCTTAGGTTAATAGCGAACAGAGGGAGGGACGGGCGGATAGCAAGACGCATAACTTACAAATACATCTTTAATATGTGTAGACTTCTCTTTGTGAAGGAGAGTATATGAGTATTCAAGAATTACGGAATATTAATTTGTACATCTTGCCAGTTGGTCATTCTTATTTCTGTCTGCGAAGCATATATCGAAGTCAACCGTGTCGAGCCATGTCGAGCCGTGTCGAAGATTGTCACTCTCCCTTTTTAGATTGTTTAGAAAAAAGTTATAATCTTTTCAAACTTATACCAGACAACTCGATCAGCATTTTAAGTCATGATATATACATGTACTACATATATATTTTATATTTCAATCTTGGCTTCGTGCGTGAAGTCTACTTTCACTAATTTCTGTTTTTTTATTTTATTATTATTTTTATTTTACTAATAAATTTGGCGGAAAAAAATTGTTGAGGTGCAAGCATAATGCAGGAAGATCAACCCAAAGAAACTAAAGTCTGCTTCCTTTTTGACATTATTGTAACTCGCTTGCGACTGTACAAAGACAAAATCGACAATCCGCAGGGCCTAACAGTTAATGTTAGATTTAATAAAATGTCGGTTAATGTTACAGCGAGCCGTATAAATGTGAGCGAATTCCAATCTGGACGTCGCATTGAATTCTCAACAGATCCCGAGATAATGCGCCAAAACCTGGAGGCTGATGGCTTGCCGATCGTCGTGCGATACAGTGGGCTCTCTTTGGGGAACGCGTGTATAACATTTCCCCAGAACTTCATCGATAGCATTGAGGATGGGATGAGTGACCAACTACATGCAGACACATGTAGCATTGAACGCCGTGGAGTCGAAGTGGGAACTATAGAGATTCTTTGCATACTAATTGCCAAGTGCATGGAGCAAACCGAAAAGCCAGAGTAAGTTGGCACAACTTATAATTGTATATAGCTCAAGTTGTTTTGGCTTTTACAGCCCCTGTAATAAGAGCTGCGGCAACCTGGCAAGGGCTATTAATGCGGCTGATATCATGTTTGTAGTGGGCGACCCCGATCCGTGCCCCAAGATTTGTGAACCGTGCGCGGATGAGCTGGAGCAAGAGGAAGGTGATGAGCAACTTAAGTTGGATCTAAATCGCTATCCCAGCTTAAACCAGAATGTCACTAACCCACCTACTAGAGAGATTTGTGGCACAGAAGCATGCTGCCAATTGCAAACCATAACGAAGCATTACGGAGAAATAATCGAATCGGTTGTGAAGAATGCAAATCGTTTAACTACGTCGGACCTAAATAAGGATCTTGTTATCACGGACTGGAGCGGCAAACAAAGAAGCTTCCCACAAAAGTATGTTGATCGCTCGATACCCATTGCTACTGGGGACATTGACGAGATTGGAGTAAAGCCCATACGTTTCTGTCCTGTTTGCCTCACTCCAATGTCGTGGCTGCCTAAATACTCTGCGTGTCCTAAATGCTGTACTAAAGCCATGCCAGAAATGGAAACTATACACGGCGAAAAGCTCACGGGCGATCAAATTATGAATGAGTTTCTCCGAGTACCTGCAAAATCAGTGGAAAATGATGAACAGGAGCTAGATGTCTCCAAGCGCTGTACCTGCAAAAATAATATATTTTGTACTCATTGTCGCATTCGCAATTTGTGCGCAGACATGTTCAAACCGCCCGTTTACCAAGAAAAGTGCCCCAGCGTTACACCTAATGAAAATGAGGACTTTTGTGTAATAGTTGAGTCCGAGGTATGTCGTCCATATTTAGAACGTGTTTTTGGCGAGCTTCGAGATCTCTACGGCGAAAGGGAGGCTAATAAAACTGCTGAATTACAGAAGCGTTTGAAACAAACGTTGGGAGCTGGAGATACAGTGGACTTGGCTAAGAAATCACTAACGGGCGCCATACAAAATGCT